AATAAACTTTTCATAGATGGTTAACTGTATACAAAATATATTGAAAGTCCGATCGGCCTTTTTCCCTTGGCAGCACTTATATATCGTGGAGTTATAATCATATGTTTATATTTTCCGAATGAACAAAAATAACGTGGTGCACAAATTTCATCATAAATTTAATTTTTATTACCATTTATATTTTTTTGTGGCATGTCACACAATAGGTTGATAAATGCTTATTTATTATATATATTTATACATGATGGTACGATTTCTGTGAATAAGATGGAAAGTCACCTCATTCTATTTTATTTGACATAATTAGTTCGATTTACAATCACATCTATTATAATGTCACGTATATAAAGGTGAACGTATAAAATGAATATTTTTCTTACCAAACAATTTCAAAAAGAATACAAAAAAATGGATAAAACTCAAAATGATAATGCATGTCCTCCACTAAATAAACATGTAATTTTTTCAGAACCTCCTTCTTCTCTTTCTTCTGAACAAAATACTTCTGTCTCATCCACGGTGAGAGGAATTAGTCGACCGAAATCGCGAAAAACTATCGATGTTGTTAGGAGTAATCATAAAGAGCATAAGCCGCGATCATTTAGTCTTGACAGTGGTTATAGATATTATCATCATCCACAATATAATATTTACAACCGAAATGATAATAATTATGAACATTTTTGTTGCGCTTATGAACCTCAACTACCTGAGTCACTAATTGAAAGAAGAGAAAGAAGACATTCGTCGCCTAAGTATCCAATTTATGGCTACTCAAGTTCGGATGATAAACTATATGATTCACCAAGTACAAAGCTTTATCCATATACGAATATTTTTATGGGTAACAAGGTGAATAACAAGAAGAATGGAGGATCAGAAAATTTAGAATCAGGCAAGGTGAATAACGAGAAGAATGGAGATTCAGAAAATTTAGAATCAGGCAAAGAAATTACTAAAGAATTCTTATATAATTTTGAAGCGTGGAAGGAACAATTATTTTGTTTAAAATGATTATATAAACATTTATCAGGATATATTATGAATAATTTACTTTTATTGTTGGTTCTTATATTATGCAGTGAAACGATTAATTTTACATATATTGAATAAAAATTATTCTTAATACGAAGAATAGATACTTAGATGATAATAATAAATGAATGTACAGTACATATATCATTAAAGTATATCAGCTTTATTCTTAGATAATGAACTCGAAATTTTGTCTCTATTGATTGAACCTCTTTAATTTTCAGTTTATCTCCGTCTCTTAAATTATGCATAACTCGGGTGTGAGCTTTCATCAATCCACTAATCTTCCTAGTATATCTCTAAAAAATTGGTACGTAATTGAGTTTAAACTTTTTTCGAACAAATGCCTTTGTTCAAAATTAGAAGCCTATTTTTCTTTCGATTCGTTAAATAGTAGCAAAATTATAATGTGGATATGAGCGTTATATAATTTAGTCATATTACGTTGTGCCTTCAGATCGGTTCTTGTTTCAGGTGATAATCGAGGCACTCTTAACTTAGCAGTGTTGTTCACTAGAAAGTTCCAGTGGAAATTACTGGATAATTACTTCTAGTGATCGAATGTCACTGGGCCATTCCAGTGAATATTTTTTTTATCATGTCTAGTGACTTCCAGTGACTTCTGATTGGCAGATTTGAATCAATCAATCGCTTGAGTATACCAGAGATTGAACCCGGTTCATAGCAAATAATCATTTTCCTAAACTCATCCTGTCTCAACATGATTTTGATGACATTATCATTTTCTTGATATTTATTATTATCCATATTTTTTTATTTTTTATTATCGTCAGCCTCATTAACGATAATTCATACAATTGAGATATTTAAATAGGTTATTTAGTTATTTTTTATCATTTATTATAACCTATGGTGGTTTCGCACCTATCATATGTTTTATTATGTTTTTTTTTAGATTTTTCTAAGCTTTGAGTATAACAAAATTTTCATGTTAATGTTAGTTTAGAAGAGCATTTTACTTAGGACATCTTGTATTGATTAATTAGCCGGTTTTTGAGATACATAGGTGTAAAACGCTATAGGTACGCTTTAGTAAAAGTCAATTTTTATTTATTTCATTTCATGTTATTCCATATTGATCTGATTGATATGTATCAAAGTATTTATATTTTTCCAGGTCGTGTAATTCTGAATAACCAAAATGTTATTGAAAATATTTATTTTATGAGATTTAAAATCTCTAATTTAACTAGATCCGACGGATTTTACTATTAAATTTGTATCCAATGGATAACCGGATCCAAGCTCTACATTTAACTTAAGCACCTGTATACGTATCCGTATTATTTCACTAACAATCACTTCAGAGATATTTTATAGACAATCAGATTCATTTTAGGTAGTTTATTTTATTGACAAGTTTGTTTTTTTATAATTTGCACTAACTTTAACACTGATTCTAAACTAATCTTAATGAACTTGTCTGTGAACTAATTGTCTGTAAAATCATGAAGGAATTGTCTATTGTTACGCCCAGAATCAGGAGAGTAATGTTAATACACGATAAGTTGACTTTGGATAGATGTTCATTAAATATTCAGATTGGCCAATAAGAAAAATAGTTAATTTGTAAGTAAAGGTTACAGTACTATATTTAATTTGAACGTTGTATTTATACATTTAATGTTCAAGAATTCAAACTCAAGCCTTGGTCTCAAACCAGTATCAGCCCTCGAACCCTCAAATCCAGATCTATATAGCTTTAATCCCATATACATTATTATTCATTAAAAAGAGAAATTAACAGAATATTATGAGTGCCATGAAACTGCTTATAATACAACAACAACAAGTGCTGCTTAAAATTTTTCTTACCAAATATTCATAAAAATTCATAAAAATTCATAAAAATTCATAAAAATTCATAAAAATTCATAAAAATTTATTAATGGAAATTAATTATTTAACCCAATCGAATCCGAAAGAATGTTCGTCTTGCCAAAAAAC